GTAAGTGAGGAGCTGAGTTTAGGATCAAGCTTGGATTGAATGCCCCAAGCACCCTTTCTGTTTCTTTTGAGTAATGCCCACCTCTGGGTCTCTCTCCCCACGTAGCAAGTTCCTCCCCGAGGGAACTCAACGCATTGAAATCCAGAAAAACAGTTGGAGTAATTTGGAATTCTCCGCATTTCTCCGTCCAGACGGCTCGGCGGCGGTAGTGGTCTTGAACAGGTGAGTGGCCCGTAATGGGCGTGGCACGTGCCATCACCGCAGGGGCATTCGTGGTGGAAATTCCATGCCCCCCAACTGGAGGTGGGTCAGCCCTTTGAGGGAGGGCAGGTCAAGAAACAGACAAGGCCAGGATCCCAGGAATATTCTTTATCCCAGCAAGGGAGTTACCGTGTGAGCAAACCTCATGATTAAAGAGCTGGGCATCTCCTGCAAATATCAGAGTTATTAAAGTGCTTTAAACACTCGGGGGCCATTTAAGATCCACTGGAAGATATCTGAATGATCCGGAATCCACCTCTCTGATATTTCTGACTTTTCTAACTGACTTAGTTTTATGATCACAAACATTGCATTTCAGAGCGCTCCGGTGAAATCCGGTGCACTTTGGGCGATCCCAAGGGATTGGGTACCAAATTCCGGTGGGGTGGATGGAGGTTTTCCAAACACGCTTAAAAGGACGGGAAATGCATGGGTTTATTGATCCAAGCATGTTTCAGCCACCCGCAATCTGCCGTGTTTGCAAACCCCCAAACTAAACATGCCCTTTTGTATCCATAAAGGTATTCTGTATTTAAACTCCCTGATTTTTTTCCTAAATAGCTTCCTCTTTTCGGGGCGCCTGGCCTGGAGTATCGAGGGCGTCTTTCCCCGTCCCTTCTCACGGTGATCATTCTTCCTTTGCAGAGCCTCCAAGGATATCCCCTTTGGGATCTCCGATCCCGGCGTGGGCTACGTTGAGGCTGTAGCGACCGCTGACTCCATCCAGACTTACCTTTGGCAGCGCCCCACGGAAGACCAGGAAGCCTCCAGCTTGGGGGCCAAGCACCCAGAGGCCCTTATCAGGAATTAAACACTTTATTTGCATGAGGAAGTAGAAAAAATAGTGTGGGGGGGAGACAGAATCCTGGGGAAGGGTCTGCTGACTTGGTAGAAAATCTGCATTAACCAGGGAGGTCGAAAGGGGTGTTGACACTGCCCTAAATCCTACCTGAATGACGATCTGCTGAATTAAGAGCTTTCAACCTGCTTCTCCTCAGTTACCTTCCCATGTCTCTTTTTTCCCCCGAGGTCATTTTCAGAATAAATCTTTTTTTTTTTTTTTCTAAAAACACACCGTGCCGGCTTTTCTTGGCGAGGATGAAGGCTGTCTGGTTGCAAAACCCGGGGCTAATTTAGGGGCAACGTCTTGGAAGCCAACAGGCCGTTGCAGAGGTCCGGTCTCCAAAAGGATTCTTTGCAGCTGGTTTGATGTGCCCAACTGGGTTCTTTGTAAGCTCAGAGGTTGCCTGGACTCACCCACTTCCCTTGGGGTCAACAGTAGGATTATCTGAATCCCTACCGTCTGTTTAGCTAACTTTTTCTGCAGGAAAACCCGCAGCTGGAAAACACATCAGTTTAAGAATTAAGAGCTGCGTGTTGGGTAAGGTGGAACTGTTCCTCATCCGCATGACTTTGCAAACGGCCGGGTCTTGCTTTTTAAGCCACGGCTTTCCTTCCCACCAGAGCAGAGATTGGTCGTTGGCTAGAGGTTCCTGGACTACATCTCCCAGAATCCCTCAGCACTGCCCATCCCAGGGCTGCTGGGAAGTAGAGTTCCACAGGCTTTCAAAGAGCACAAGGTGGTTTTATGTCATAGCCCATCATCCTCATTGTAAGCTGGAGGGTATCATTTGGGGAATCCCCCCCGAATGAAGGGGGCTGGACCTCTGCCCACCGGCCAGGTCTAGCCCCATCCTGCGCCATAGACAAGCCTCACTTTGAAAAACATACAGACACATGGAGGGCTGCAGAGCCAAATCACCAGCCTAAGTGGAACCTCCACAGTCCTAGGCAGTCTAGATGGGGAGGGAAGGCACACTGCTGGAAGTCTGCCTTGGGGGATAGTGCTGGAGATCACCAAGAATGAATGAGCTGCATTCCCCCCACCACCACAGAGCCTTAAAATAAGACAGAGTAAGGGGTTCCTGAGCATACCTAAACTGCAATCTCTTCTAACGAAGTAAATGTCACACTGCTTCCACCTTGGGAGGAAAGCCCATCGCAAGCTGTAGCAACTCAGAATACAAACCCTCCTTTATTTGGGGGTCCCCCGTCCTGACTCCATGCCCATTGAGCAGGGATTAAATTTTTCCCTCAATTTAATTCACGGAGATCAGGAGCGCCATTCACAACCTCACAGTGTGAAAGGGGTGGGGGGAGGCTCAAGGGAACAGATGAAAGCTGTTCCCTGTTCCTTGCCCCCTCCCCTTCCCATAGCAAACCCCAGACCACCCAGTAACTGAACAGCGATTCAGAAGCCCCAAGATCTAAAATACATATGTCTATCTAGGTAGGTAGGAATGAATGAATGATGTATGGAAACTGGCAAGGCCTGAGAAACAGGCGGGCTGGGGGGGGAGCCAGGCCCCAAATAAATGGGTCAACCGCAGCATCTCAGGAATTTGGCAAGGAAGGAACCGATGATGCTGTCTTCTCTTGCCAAGGGAAGCCAGTTCCGGTCTGGGCAGCGATCCAGCTTCCAACCGAGGCCGACTTGGGATAAACGTGATGCCAGCCTGGTCCGCAGGAGGCGCCTGGAAGAAGGGAGAAATGGGGGGGGGGGCACAGAGGCAGGTCTGCCTGCTTGTTTCCAGCTTTGAGGGGTGAGAGAAGCCAAGAATAAGGAGATTGATTTGCCCTGCGGTACTCACCCCCCCCAAGATATAAGGGAAAGACACAATGTTGGGCTACAGATTTTGGGGGGGGGGCTTCTATAGATCCTTCCCCCTCTACCTGCACGGATGGTGCTGTCTGGGCTAAACCCTAGACCTCCTCTTGGGATCCCGACATTAAAATGGAAGCTCCAGGAGCAGAGGAAGTCTACCCCTGCAGAGCCCGAACCACAGAAGGCGAGGGAGAACCCGGCCTTACCGAGACAGATCAAAACTTTCAAGGGAGGAAAAAAGGAGGGGGGAAAAAAGAAAAAGGCACGTCTCGAACTCAGCCCCCTCCAGGACCGTTGGAAGAAATCCAGCCTTCCGCCAAAGATCTTTACAGATAAACTGCCTCTGCTCTAGGAGGCTTCGTTTAGCCTCTTCTCTTCCCTGAAACAGCCTAATCTCCTTTTTGCAAAGCCAGGATCCCCCCCCATTCCCAAGCCCCCCTCCCCCCCCCCCAAAAAAACAGGCCCCCTTTAATCAAAATAAAGCAAGGCGATAAACCACAGACCAGCCGCTAAAATGGCAGCTCGCTCAGGTTTATTGGCCTCGGCGGGGCCCTCTCCCCCCGGGACTGGTTAAAAGAGAGACGGGAAAAAGACGGGGCGGAGGGCCCGGGGGCGGCGCGCCGACA